CTATTACCCCTGCAGACCTGGTGTTTTAGTTACCTTTGATTTAGGCAACTACCGTTTTAGCTTAGCTTTCATTTTTAGGTAATGCACAGAATGATTTGCAAGGAGGTACTGTGAGATTTAGTAACTGTTGAAGTGAAAAAGCTCAGGATTAGTTACACGATTGTGTGCAGAGGAAGATTTGCTGGTTTGGTTTCTTTATATGGTTTGTTTTATTTACCTAGAGTGACAGCACTTTGTGTTTGCTCCTGTCCTGCACAAAGAGCTGCAGTGGAAGCCATAAGTAGGTTCAGAATCCTGACTGTATTCCTCCACCCTGGCCTCTTTAAGGATGATTAATTTTGGAAAGTACTTCTTTAGTTAAATATCTGAATTATTTTCAGAATTATTGCTTCAAAATAATACGTTTTGCTATTGCTGTCCAGGTATAGAATGAAAATTGTGTATGCTTTACAGGAAATCCTCTTTTAAAATGCTGCCCCTGTATCAATGTGGAAGGCCCAGAGTAAATCAAACTTAATGACCCTTGAAGCCAGTGGAGAGTTTTGCTTTAAACCAGTTTATTGTTCAGAAATGCGACCTCACATAGGCAGTGTCCTGCAGTGTTCTGCCTGCAATCTTTATATCCATCAGGTAGGAGCACCAACTGTTGGGAGACATCACCTCCAAGCACTTCAGCATATAGTGGGTCACAAGTAACTGATGCCTGTAAGCATGCACACTTGCCACCACGTTGCCTTGGGTGCCTTAGCCTTCATGTGGCTGAGAGCCTCCTGTCCGCAGGTGTGCAGCCTGTCTTCCCCTGGCAGTGGGGGGTGCCCATCACTCCGGCTGCCTATGGGGCAGAATTTTCACCTCCTTCATGTCACATCCTTGCTCATGTGCTGTCATTTTTGTGGCCTTGCCCCAGCAAAGCCAATACTGTGGCTGTGGTGTGTTCTCATAGGAAGCGACTGCAGCAGCAGGAGAATCGCCTGTCTTTCCTCCGTTTCTCCCACCATTGCTTGGGGCTCCAATAATACACATGCACAGAGCGTAGCAGTCGGTCAGCAGACACCAGCCCCAGCCAGCATGCACCGGTCAGCGATAACTGCATCACGCACAGGAACCACCGACAGCAGTTTGAGCAGGTCCTGCTGAGATTTGTGTGCTTTCTGCAAGGGACTTTCTGGAACAACTCTGCTGCACTGGAGGGAAGCCCTGGGGAGGCTGCTCATCTGGGCACCCCCATTAACTCTCTTCCCACTGGGCACTGAGTTTCCCTTTTTTTCCCTTTTTGTCTCTCTCGCTTCCCTTCACCTCTCCCTTCCTCTGTCATTTCTGGTTTTCACCAAAAGCAACTCCATGCGTGCCATCATCTGCAGACCCTGCCGGTGAATCCCTGTGCATGTGAACCGATCTGGGCATCCTTTGTGTAACAGCCACGTGTTGGCTGCAGCTCCCTACTCTGTGCTTCCACACAGGTGTAAAAGAAACTGCTCTCCCCAGCTGCCATTGCCTGTGGTTTAACTCACACACACTACCAGGTCATCTCACTCCTCCCTCCCCCAGCTTCAGGATGACTGAGGGAAAAAATAATGAGTAAATGTAAGCAATGGACTGCTGTATGGGTGAGAGTCAGGGCCCACTAGCATCCAGAGTCTCTCAAACGCCATAGACCGTTGCCATTCCAGCTCCCACAGAGGTCTGCCACGGCAAGAACTGACCAGCAGAGGAAAGCAGTATGAGTCCCTCTTCTGAAGAGAAGTTTCTGATGCGAAAACTGATGTATCGGTGTAGAGGGAGATGTCAACATAGCTGCCTTTTCATGAGGATAAAAGTAAATATACTGAAAAGTAGCTGGGAAAATGGGGTGGAAAATTGGAATCGCTGTACAGACCAGAGGTAGCAAGGAGAAACAGAAAGTTGAGCCTGATTTTAGGAGATAACATATTTAAGGATGTGAAAGTAAATTCACAGGATGATTCTACTTTAAGGATGAGAAGCAGCTGTCTGTGAAAGAGGAGATAACAAAGTCTGGGGCACACAGAGAAAGCAACAAGTCCGGGAATGATTACGGTGTAGTTTCAGCCTAAATATTTGAGGCATCTGTCTTCGAGTGGTCAACTGCACAGGCTCAGGCTGAGCTAAAAGAGCAGGGGCTTGAGCCCCACGCTGCCATGCTTGCCCTGCTGCTTGCCGCTGAGCTGTGGTGGGTAATCCTGACATGCATGTCCCTGCATCGCGCTCCAGAGGGGCAGGGATGTGCTCGCAGGCAGCATGGGCAGCACAAAGAACTTTTCAAGGGGTGCCAGTCAAGGAGGGGCTTCTAATGCTGTGAAAATAAGTCGTTCCTGTGGTTGATTCCTGCTGCATTTGCGGCAGCAGTCCTTCCAAGAGGCACAGGATTACAGCAAATAAACTTTTAATTATTGATTTCTCTTCATAATGGAAATAGAGCACAAGGCAGGATCAAAGTGTCCCTTGCCTTTAATTTTGGGATGGGGAGGATGTCAGCATATGATATGCATTCTTATCTGCTTGATGCCTGTTAGAAAACAATGCCTCCATCAAGCAGCAAAGGCATTAGTAGATGAATGAGGTAAGTAGTCTGCACTGTGTGTGGGATCCCCATTTGCCAAGAGAGCCCTTCGCCACTGCTTGTGTTTCACCTCCTCTGTTAGATGGTCCCCTGCCCAAGAGGGGCACGTTCATCTCTGTGTCATGGCAGTTGGGACTCACTTGTCAGGGGCTTGAATCTCAAAAGGAACAGAAGCAGCCCCTTCTTTGTTCAAAGTCCTGAAACAGCCTGGGAGGGTTATTCTTTCAGAGTCCTCAGGAAAGTAATACAAATTTTGGTAACACTTGCCCTTGCAGAAAATGTTCTACAATTCATCTGTGTTGAGCATGGCCATGAAATCATTTTTAAAGACAGCTGTGGCATTCTAGGCATACTCTTTCTTTCCCTTTTTATTTTCTGCACAAAGAAACTTGGTTGGAAGGCTCTCCCTTTCTGAATACCGTGCCACAGGAATTTCACTGCCATTCTCTGAACGTGAAGAAATACACACAAAATGACAGAAATTGTTAGTAATGCATTTTTCTGCGTCTGCTGAAACTGATACTGCAGTAGGTAGCTTTTTCTTTGAATGCAGGCAAGGCTGGAAATTTAAAGGAAAAACTCAGTATTCTGCGCATTTCCAGAACACAGACTCTGCAGTGTTAGCTTTGTCCTGCTCTGGGCAGCAAGCCCAGGTGCTCTCCTGTTTGTGCAGACAAGTTAGCATAGAGCATACAGTGGGAATGAAGAACAAGAAAAAAGCCTTTGCCTTTTTATAGTATGGATTTTCATCCCAAATGCATTTGGGCAGGTATGGTGACTCGTATTTACTGATACGGTTCCCGTTAACTTCAGTCAGCTCCCAATTTTATGATATTTCCCATTAATGCAATGTGTCCTGTAGGTAAGGTATACCGCACTTGCAGTCACTGTGGTGCCTGTCACTGTGCAAGTTGCATATTAAAAAAAAAAAAAAAAAAAAAAAAAAAAAACAAAAACAGATTGGCAGGTTCCCAGTCTCTTACTTCTAGTATTTAGATTGATGCTATAGGATTAGTTCAACCCAAGTTACCTTTTTGTGAATGAGACATAGCTCCACTGGTGCCAACAGGGTTCACGTGGTATAAACATGGTGTGAGAGGAAAATGAGATCTTCCCACTGCGTGCTGTGTAAGCCAGAGCCTCAGAAGAAAACGGCATCATTCCCTTACATAACATTAATTAAGCATCTGCTGAAAAGTAAATGAATTACGGGAATTCTTGATGAGTGATGCCATTGTGGAATACCTAATGTAGAGTATTTCTCCAAGTAGAAATATTTCATGTTCTGCTTGTTTACAGCAAGAATATTTCTCATGAGAGCTTTAGGCTGCCATAGCAGAGACCAAAGGGGTGTAAATCAGTACTGTTCTATGGAGCACTTGTGATTAAAACTGATGTGGGCTCACTGACTTATACCACCTGAAGAATTTTACCCTGCCTGTTTAGAAGTATGACTGCTACTGAAGCCAAATTCTGCCTTGCTATCCTTATTCAAGGTTGCATGTTTTGATAATAGGAAAAAGGAGCTTTCTCAGCACAGTCTATCCATCAACACTTCTAAACCAAAGATAAATTAATTTTGTAGATTAGATTGTAGCTCCATTTCTCACACTGTGAACTATATGACCTCAGGAGCAGAACTGAATCCAAGCTTATTACAGTGAAAAGAAATCACCGTTAACAGAAGATAGTAGTAACAATAAGTATTAGATTAAGTACTTTCCAGTGGTAAAACTTTAGCAGCAGAAAAAGGGGCAAGAACAGGCATAATGCTGAGTAAAAGAGAACACTATCAGAAAAGAAGTAACTTGCTTTTAAATGTACCTTCAAATAACCCTATTATATTAGCACATCCTTTCAACTCAGGTCATGACTGCATTAAGCTTCCTACCCAGTCAGGTCATCCTGTGGGTATAAATATATGTTCTGAGTTACATAAAAGCCATCCAATCCTATTTGCATTGTCAGTTTTTGATACAAAATGCTATAATGACCTCCTGGTTTTATGTCCAGTGCTATCTATAAAGCAGGCTTAGGCCCTTGTGTTCTTAAGGATGTCAGCTGTCATGTTGCTTTCTTAATAATCTTAAGGCATTCCCAGAGAGTTTTCTAAGATTGCAAGACATACCTGGCCCCAGGCGGAATAGTTTGGCCTCAGCCAACACGTAAATGATGCAGACAGATCCCATGTGACAGGTTATGCAACTGAGCTGAGCTTTATATACCCGGAAGACCTTAAGCATGTAAAAGGCTGTAGGGAAAAGAGCATCAGGTGAGGAAAAAATGTTTGCATGCCATGCTTCTTGGAGTGCTTTTGGCATTGTTCCAAACCATATTAGAATAAAGCTTCTGTTTCATTAGGGGGTCAACTTGTAAAAATTTCCTGGGATTTGGTAATGTATTGTGTGTTCTAAAATTGTAGGGTTTGAAATTCTACGAAGACTCAGAAATCATGGTTATTCCTCTCTGGAGAATGACACCTGGGTATATAAGGTTGTTGCAGGTATGAAAATTCTATCTTTTTTTCTGCTTTTAATTAGATCTTTGAAATATCAGCATTTCTCTTGCTCAGACTGATTTTATTTCAAATTATTGCATGACCAACACAGGGGAACGCTGGCTTCTGGTGGGTTAACTTGTATAACAACTCAAGTCTTAATTAAGCCTCTGCTGAAAAAGTAAATGAATAATGATAATTCCTGATAATTGGTATCATGCTGGAACACCAAATGCAAAATACTTGGAAGGAGTTTATGTTTCTGCAGTGCTTAAACAGAAACTACTTCTCCATCATTTTCTGTTGCAATGGCTTTGTGTGTTTGGGGCAGTAGGAAAAAGTTAATGGGAAGGAGGATGTCAGGTTCCTAAGCAACTCAGATGAGCTGTCAGTGAAACACTTCAACCAGCTTCTGTGGTTATGATAAAGAAATCTGGATCAGTATTGACATCTGGAACACTGGGGGACCAGAGTACCAATCATTATATGAAGAAAAAAAATATACATAGAAAATCTTTTCAGTCAGTTAAATAATTGAGAATAAATTATTTTATATTACTATAAATAATGATTGAGCCCCAAAATATATATACAAAGTATACTTAGCATTGTTAGGTTTATGGTTGGACTCAATGATCTTGAAGGTCTTTTCCAACCTTAATGATTCTATGATTCTATAAAGTAGAGCATCTTCTTTATTGTACTCCATAGTTTGATATTTACAGAGTAGATATCCTTTTGTTGGAAAATCTCAGAGCTTTTAGCGGTGTGATCTGCATCCAAAGTCATAGACTACAGTAGCTGAGAGGTGATAGTTGAGTATTTGAGAGACTGAGCTAAGGATACTGCGTTTCAGTCCTAACAGTGAATTTCTTTCACGCGTCCCTGCATATCTTTTAATATCACCTTACACAGTAATTTTATTTGCAGTTTCTTTTGTCTTTATTTATTCTGCTGCTGAATTAGCCACGCTGCCAGCCACATTTATCAAGGTCAGAGCCCTCTGCTCTGTTTATTTAAGCTCACAAAAAACTAGAATCTGGAAATGAAAATCAGGGTCCTTGGAATCTGTGGCTCCTGTCAGTGATGCCATGCTTTCCATCCATGGACTGCAAGGGAAAGCATTTTAAAAAATCATTATTTGAGGCCTAGTCATCACTTCATATAAGAAATTCTGCAACTAGAAAGACACATTATATGTTTTAACTCACAGCACCAATATGCATGGGGATTTGTGTTTTTTTCTCTAGGGAGTCCATGCAACTGTGTTTCTTCTTCTTGATCAGTGTATCATACATACTAGGCAAGCAACAGTAACTTAATTTCTTTTCTGATTGTTATTCAGATAATCAGTAATTAATTTTTAATCTTTACTTCAGCATTTCCTGCTTCTTTGTTGGACTTGACAAAGTGACTGTGTTAAAGCTTGTCTGCTTGGTCTAGTCCTACCTGTGGAGCTAATAAAAGATATTACTGATCCCTTTTAGCCTTGCTTTCATGAATTAATAACTAACACTCAAGGGAGCATCATCTGTAGGAAGGAAGAGATCTTTGTACTCCACTGAAAGTCCCTTCCCCTTTATGCCTATGCCTCCATGCTTGATTCAGCTCTCCCTCTCAGCCAAGAAGCCAGAGGGAACCCCATTAAAGTCACTGAAATCAATGAGTTACAAATGAAAGAAAAATCATATCAGAAATGTGTCCTTTCTTTTACGAAGTGATAAGAAGTAGGGCCTTCCAAAATGTGCAGTAATTTGTACCGAATACTCTTCAGCAGAAAGCAGAGTCATATTATATGAAATGCCATGGAGAACAAAAAAGTGCTTTGTAAGTTCCAAAGACCTGCTTTTGTGTTGCACTCAGCTGAATCAGTGTGTAACCTGCCCCATTTCTCCCATAGACTCAAGCTGCAGGAAAAGTCGTTATCAAATCATCAGACACAGTGCTGCAATGGGCCGCGTTGCTGCTGGGAATGTCTGGGATCAGTATCTCCAGCTACAGCACACACCGACTAACTCAAAAGAAGAGGATTCCCTTGACCCTTTAAGCTGTGTTGGGATGTGACCCAAGAAGTAAAGGCTTATGTCAGTAGTGCTGATGAGTGGATTTTCTGCCTCAGTTACCAGTTTGGAGGCAATGAGTCACTTTGCAACTGTGATTTTCTACATGCAAAGTTAAAAACCGGAGAATTACAGAATTCTTCAAGAAAGAAAAAAAGAATAATGACTAGCAGAGGCATCAGATTTCCAAATAAGATGAACTGTTTGTAAATACAATGGACTTCTTTCGTTAACTAGTGTATAAACAGAGAGGGATCTAAAGATACAAAATAGAGGTAAAATCGGAGTAGGGGTGAACAGATTGATGGGGGTGCCGTGCTTGGTTAGTGTCACCTTGTTGCAGCTTTTGCAAATTGATTTCTACGCAAAGGCTGGTTTTGAAAAGGCAAAGTTAGAAGCAATATATTCCTCATGACAAGAGTTAGACCAAATAAAAATAATTTCTCATAAATGCTTTGTACTGCTTTGTGTTTATTCCAGAATTTGTGCACTCTAACCTTTTTCTATTGAATCTTAAACGTTTCTTGATTCCTTTTGTGTGGAAGTGTTAGTGTATTGTAACGCAAGCTGGTAGCCTTCTGCAACAGCAGAGATGACCTCAGGCTACACCGTCCATATGGTGTTGGGAAGGAACCATGGCACCAGACCAGATAACTTCATAATTCTCTACAGAAACTCTCTACTCTAGAAAGTATCAGTAAAAATGTTGGTTGGGTTTCGTTGCAGAGTTCAATATCTGATCATGTTCCTCTGCAAAGCCCACTTGTCCTATAATATATACTCTGATTAAAATAAAAATAGAAATTAACCTTTTTTCCTTGTTTTCTTGCTCTTTTCACTGGATGCAATAGCTTATTCAGGAATGTTCTCTTACTGTTGGTTTGCATTTTACCAACTGTGTCTGTTGTTTTATGTAAATATGGCTTTGTAGGGTCTTCTGTGCGTATGTTAGCATTTTAAATCCTTTGTCTCAGTTACTAAATGCAAATATTATTTGGGGGGGGTTACCATGTTTTTAATTGTTTCTTCTGTCAACAGTGTTTATATTCAACCACTAAGGGGCATCCTGCACAGCTGAATATTTTGAAGTCTTCAGATTGCTCAGTGCAACATTACAAATCACAAATTGAATCAGGTTGAAATTTTTACTTTTTCTTTTTGCCTCTGTGTCCCTTTCTCACCCCCTCCAAGAAATGACTCTCCTCTCTCCACAACTGTTGTTAAATTGAAGAAGATGAGAAAATTAGTCTTTACAAGGTCATTTTTTACAATGTACCAGGTCACATATTACCTCCATCATGTATAGCCTTCTGTTTATATTTAAATTAAAAAATTGTATAATGGAATATCCTGTCTTCTGCCTTCACCTACAAGAAATAAAACAAAATACTTGATTCCTTTGACAAAAGTAAGAATTATATGTCTGTAAAGCATTTAATCACATTGATTGAAGATCTGCAATCTGACCACCACCTTCAATATGCCATATTTATAGCTTTTTAATCAATGCATGTGATTTTAGGCAGCTGCATTTCTGTTAACTGATTTCCTGCCTCCATGCAACATGAACGTAAGATCATTAGATGTTTTCAGTGCCATTACTATGCTAATATGAACTCTCTGTTAGATAAAAGCTAAGGGTAATAGCAATAAAATTTTAAGAAGATATACTAGAATAAAATAAATGATAACTTGACCACTGAGATGTTCCTGTTTTACTGTATCATGGAAATGATGCTCATGAGGAATATGTATTTTTTCCATGATAATTGCTTTGAATAGTTTTGTTAAATTTAGCTGGTACCATGGAAAATGACAGGAGGACAACACAAGCAATAGGCTTATTGAGTGTGAAGAGACTCAGTAAAGGTCCAGGCCTTAAGAGCCTCAGGAGCATACAGTGAAGCACCAGGAAGGTGAAATTGAAATGAATTACAAAATGTATACATTTAATCTTGCTGATGATGGTTTGGGCCTGGGCTGAAAATCACCTTTATGTGACAAGTTGGGACTGCATCCAGCAGCAGATGTAGTCATCTGTAGGTAACCTAACTGCTCCTGTAAAAATCTAAATCCAGAATTTCAGTTTTCTGAAGTACAGCTGCCACCTCTTGCTGGGCGTGACAGACAGCCACGTGCCCGACCCTCTAACTGCTGCAGCTCCCTGGAAGATCTGCTTTCAGGTTTCCCCTCAGCTGGGTGAGGCTGGGGTTTGTTGAGCACCAAGACGTTGAAACCTCGTAGAGTGTGCAACAACATGCCCATCAGCTCATCCTCCCCGGGGCTGCAAGCACAGAGGTGGACTGGGGGCTGCCCAAACTATAACTGAAAGCTAACAGCCCCTAGCCCCGTTTATCCTGCTGTTTGTTAGAGCAAACGCTCTTTGGCAGAGGAGGGAAGGGCACCTGCACAGCAACTCACAACAGAGTCCATGGTGCTGTACCTTCCCTCTGCGTGTTCTGTGGAAGGACTGGCATGGTCCCACGGGGTCCTGACTCCTAAAGGAGGCTGGCCATGAGGAACCTGTCCCAGCTCTGCGTCCACTACTGTAAGGGGCCCAAATTCACAAGTAGGACAAGGTAAAGACTTTTTTCCTCCTAACTGCCTGTTAGCTAAGTTTGCCCTGCTCCCTGCACTCAGTGTGCAATGTGCCTGGACCCTACCTAAGTTTGTCATGTTTATAGACAACTAACTCCAGCCTGCAGGCTCGGTACGTGGCTGGGCTCCCAAAATCTGGGCAGCATACTGCTCTGTTCTGCAATTCCCAACCCTGCCTGTGAATTCAGTCTTCAAAGCTCTGAACATGCCAAACTTCAAGCATATGTTTATGTCCTATTGAAGTCAAAGGGGGGGGTTAAGGAACATCCTTACATCTTATGCCAGACTGAGGTATTTAATCGCTTCCTTGATCTCCCCCAAAAAGCATTTACATTTTAAACATATTTGTACTTTTGTTTATATGGCTTTTATTTCAAAAATGTTGGCAATTCATCAACAATTGAATGCTGATGAAAGTTGGGAGCCTGGTGAGCTTGAGGAGGTTAATGCTGCTTTACTTCGTTTAGCAAAGCTTTTAAGAAAAAACAGCAATGGATTTCATTTGGCACATAAATTGTTATGCTTAAGGAATTATGGTCCAGGAATTACTTTCTACCTTCCCTAGCTTGTAAAAATATTTAAATAGAAGTACTGTTTAAGCTAGTAAATATTAGACCTTCTTTACAAATACACTTTGAAAGTCATTTAATAAAATTTATCAGATTGGTTTTACCTCTAATATCAGGCAAATATGGGATGCCAAACAATTTTAACTAAACTAATCCACTTCTATGAGCAGTAACTTATCTAGTTTGAGTTACATCTTAATACATCAAGTTAATTATTTTATTATTTGAGAAGGAATCCCAAGAGATTTTGTAGCTGTTTGGTTTGTATGCCTGAGTCCACCTCCTAAAGGCAAGTGAAATGAAAGTATTAAATAATCAGAAAATCAAACATGATTGGTATTCTCTTCAAACAGATGTAACGTAGACTGGAGGGTTGTTTGAGATAAATGGCATTGGTGGTGAATATCAGCATTCAAGCTTGATCTCTTGTGCTAAATAAAGTTGATTAAATTCACTTGAATGTTTTGTCAGAAACTTTCACATTTATATACTCAGTTGTCTAAAGCAGAATTTCTGTCTTCTTCCATCAGGACAGACAGACAGCCTAGAACAATTACTCAAGGTAATACACATTTACTAATGAAGCATAAAATGAAGGCAATGTCTCTGACATCTTTTCAGGCATCTTCTGGAAATTATGTTTTGGCATCAAAATTACTGCTCTAGAGTATTATTTATCACTAAAGCTGTAGATTATAGAATTGTAGATTGTGCATCTTCAAATATGCCATAGGCCAAGAAGACAAACTTGAGTAGTTACCAATCAGCGGACAGTCACTTACTAGGCGGTGGTAATGTCATTGTGATGCTGAGCCTTTAATTTGTATATCAAACTAAGAACACACACAAGAAATTTAATTTTCTACCCCTAAATTATGTGCTCGTCTTTTTATACAGCAGATGTGCTGCCGGCTGAAGAATTGGATCACTTGAGTGGGCTCTCTTCTGTCTTTCAGCTGCCCTGAGGTTTCATGCTGTGCAGAGCTGCTATCTAGCTTATATCTGCCACAGCCCTCAATGAAGGTACTGCAACGGGGTGGGGGTTGTTCTGGCAGTGTAACCCTCAGGCCACTAGCGCCTTGCTGAGAAGCCCTTCATTTTAGACGGTGCATTTTTACTAGCACCAGATGCATGGAAGTCTGGCCTCAGCTGAGGTTTCAGGTGCTGGTGTAATGGTAATTAATACCAACAATAAAACTGGGGCACTGACACTGGGTGGGATCTTTCTTCTTGTGTCTGCATTGACTTTTCAATCGCAAGTTGTATAGTGGGTTTATCAGTGACAGAGCTGTGTCTTAGTGGTAATTCACCTCCCTGGCTTCAGTTGAATGTGGCCACAGAGATTTAAGTGAAAAATGGTCTTACCTGTGCAGTGCAATGACACTTTCCTATGAATATATTAGTGATTAAAAAATTAAAAAAAAAAAAAAAAAAACAACAAACCACCACAAACCCAAAAGAAGATATTAACGCTTGTCATGTTTTTTCCTACCTTGGATAAAACACTTTTTCCTTCTTAGTTGTGAGTAGTCAATGACAACAAAAAATAATCCCCTAAATCAGTCTTGTCTTTCATATGACTTTCTTGTTACTCTAGCTGTTGCAATGTAATAAGGTAGCTGAAAGGTAGTTTAATCAAACGGTAGATTAATATGGTTCCTGGGGCTACCTTCACTTCAGTTTTTAACTAAGCATGTAATCATGAGCCATGGTGTGTTCCTGACTTTTAATCAGTGCCCCTGTCTCTGTAGCGAGTGTGGTTGTAAGCATAAAAACAGCCCAAAAGGGCCCAGAAAGATGTTTCTTCACCTCCTTAGCAACACTTTTACAAATGACCTCTCCTAAGAGCACTAAGTGCTTTAAAATCAATAATCCACACCTTTTCAGAAGGTTTTAGGAACTTCAGGTAATCCACAGCACCCCACTGACAGTACATCCTACAAGGGAGACATCAGCACGGGGTGGTCAAAATGAGGCCAAGCAGAGTGAGGGTTTGAATTAACTCTCAGTGGGTGCTGCCATGTGTTTCCATTCAGAAATGGTGGGTGAGATTCAACTTGTCTGACGCAAGCAAGCAACGGGAAGGTTGACCAAGTCTGCCTGTGCCCTGAACTCCCTCTACAGACAGCAGAGAGAGGTCCTGTGCAGGCCACCTCCAACCTGCCACCTGGCAATGGCCTGAAGGTGCTTTAGATGAGATGAAGGAATATGGATGGTTTCCTTACATGAGAAACCACTTAATGTTTGAGATTTCTTTTATTTTTCTGTAACTTTTCTGACTAGGTGAAGAGGCTGTATCTTGTTTCTGTTATTTAAACCACAGTAAGGAAGAAATACCAAGGCAGAGTGACCCCCTGCTGCTGGTAAAGGTTTTTAATCTTTTTTTTTAAAAAAGCAAATAACAAATTGGTTTGTCCTTCACTTTGTGTTCTTCAGCAATGAATTACAGGAACTTGAAACTCAGCCCAACAGGGATGGTGTCACGTAAAGCCAAAACACATGAAAACTTTAACAGAATCACCACTGCCATAACTCAACCACCATGTGCATTCCCTGTCACAGCTGAGCCATATTTCCTTTTAAAAAGCAAGCCTTGCCCTAAGGGAAAAGAAAGCACATAGTATTATGCTCTGCTCCCCCAGGTGCTCTTCAGCTGCACCGTGGTAGATCCTCACTATAGGTGAGGAGAGGGAGGGTAGAGGAATGGCACCAAAACCTCAGCTTCACTGTGACCCTCTGACAGCACAAGAGCCCCTTGGCTGCTGCTTCAGGCCAAGGCAACCAGCGTTGCTCAGCCTTCGGTGAGACTCCACATCTCTGTCCCGACTGCTGTCTCCTGCTCCCAGAGCTGCTTTCTGGCTCCTCTGAAGCGTGTGGAGCTGTGACTGAGCCTCTGTGTGTGTCTGTCTGTCTGTCTGTGCTCTAAGGGCGAGAGGGTGAGAGCAACCTCTGCCCTTCAGACTGCAGGAGGTGGTGAATACCCAAGAGGGATACCATCGCAGCATCAATAATTTGTGCAAATCCCTGGCTCTTCTCTGAGTAATGTGCAATCTCCTGCTGGGTCTTAGCTTTCATCTGCAGCACAGCTCTGGCAAGAGATTTTTCATGCGGTAACTTCAAGTCCCCTTTTCACTCATTTGCCAGTTACATCGTGTTCATTAGCCCTGAAGCTCACCTAAGGAATTATTTGTGATGTTTCATCCCCAACTGAATTTAGCTGTTAATATGATAGGATTGTAACAGAGGAGAGCCTAAAGAAACACTGGGAGTGTTTGACATGAAAAGATACCTGCAATGTTTTTTGGCACTTTCCTCCTTATTGTCAATTTTCCAATAACACTTCTGCTCTTGTATGTGTGTCCTTGCATCTCCCTGCCTTTTCTTTGCTGAGCAGAAAAATCCTGAGGCCTCAGCTGACCCTATCTTCCAGAATGGCATGTGATGGGAAGAGAGGCATCACTCAGCAAAGAACAAGAGAAGCAGAACAAGCATCCCACCCACCGGGTGAGGGGAGCTGAAAATCTCAACTGCCAGGCATGCAGTCAGCCCGTGGTGATGCTGAGCCCAGGGTGGCTTTAATGAGCTAATGCTCCTGCAACCATTTACCAAAGCTGGGGACTCACTTAAGCTCTGGGTAGTTTTAGCTATGGTTTAACTATGCAGCTATCTCAATACAAGTTTCTGCCAAAGTGGCACAAGGAGGATGGATGTAAAACAGACTTTTTGGTTTTTTAAAAAAATCACACAGTCTGAATTCCACTTAATAATTGCTCTCTCACGTTAAAGCAAAATTAGTTCTCGTCAAGTAGCACATTAAAAAGCCCAAAGTTTGCTCAAGGATATCGACACTGGAGTATGATGCTACACCTTTATCTCACTAAGCCTATCCACTGTACATTAAATATTCAGCCTGAGCTATTCTCACAGGTTCTTTCCATAATCACTGAAAAAAATGAGC